CTTTTTTTCGTGGATACCACTCACTAATGCGTGACGTTCATCGGTTGTCGATAAGGCGAGCAACATTTACTGCTCATCAGCATCTTCCCTTTATATTTTAACAGTTTTTACCAATACAACATTTATCGTACGGATGAAGTCTAGTTGTGATGCTGAAAGGGAACATATGCGATATGCTATGCCGAAAAATCCCTTTCCAGTTACATTCTTCCCGTCTCTGGCTATGTATTGAAAACTTTGATACTTCCCTCTTGCTTTTCCACCTTTTCACCTAGATATGCTTATTTATCCGAAATATTATTATATTAGAAAATTTAATCAAAAAAAAAAGAACTAAATGACCGGATTTTACTTAAAAGTGCTTTCTCTCGCTCGCCACTACTGGCCTCATAGGCCACCTGCTGTGGTTAGACCGGAGATCTTTCTGCTTCCACGATCCGCACCAAGGTCCTGCTACTGTGCAATTCTGGTACAGCTTACCGCATCTTCCTCTCAGATATGTGGATCTGAGAGGCATATTACAGATGCGTATGTGTTGGCTGTAGTGTTACGACCTCAGAAACAGGAGACGGATAAAGGCCGTAACGTGCACCTTGGTCGGAAGAAGATTATTTCCTGTGATATTAGACTTGAATGTGGGCTCTGTTGTGTGATTTCTGTTCATAAAGAGACGATTTTCTCAGAAATCAATATGAAATCCAGGAAGTTTTTAAAATGCAAACTATGAAAGTTTGTTTGGGACTATAGGCCCGCCGATGAGAGGGACACAGTCGAATATTGTCAGTTGTGGGAAAGCAAGTAGTGCCAAGTTAGATACCCAGATAAGCGAACCTGTATGTGCATTACCTGTTGTTCTATCTGTGTTTCATCCCTAAAATGTAAACACAGACGACAGAGCCGGTGCGGGATGGAGTGGGAATCATCAGTACAGTGCCCCATTCCGTCCTGTTTAAACGAACTTTTTCAAAATTGCAGTGCTGGATCGTCATGCGAGTGCATCTGTTTCATCCGATGAATATCCGATTGCCAGCAAAACTCGTCGTCGTATTTCACCGGCCACCGTTACTACTACAATACCTCGGCCTATTCCAACCATAATGCCAACACTGCCCCCAAACATCTTCCCGCCACTTTTCAGCAGTCTTCGGTGTATGCCCGGTCCGGCAGCAGCAGCCGCTGCAGCTCTTTCCGGTCATTTACCGTTAAATTTCGGGAACTCACCACTGAGCGGTGCAATGCTTGCTGCTTCGCAACCAGTTCCACCACATGCAATTACCGCCGCTACTTTACCAGCAATTTTGACTCAACGTAGCCGACAGCAACAACCACAGCTGCAGCAGCAACAGCAGCATCAGCAGCAACAGCAGCAGCTGCAAGGGCAACAACAGCGTGAAGCTCAAGAATCTCAAGAACAATCACCGGTTGGAACAAGAACGAGACGGAAAGCTACTACGAAAATCTGGAAACCATACGATATCAAGTCGTGAAAAAAAGACCCAGCTGTTATTAATGTCGCGAGAACACAGCCCCCTTTTTTGCATTACCGTTATGAAGTGACAATACTCGGTCCAGAGTTAAAGACGACTTAAAATACTACGGTATTTCCTGGACTAGCGGTGTGAAACTTCGATACAACTGAAATCTCTAGTGAGCGCAGCTCTACCAGAATTATTTCCTGCAAAAATTTATTTCAGGAACCACGGAATCTAGGTAGCTCAAATTTTGAGGGATCGTTCCCTCCCTGCGTGCGACTCCTTAAATTTTAATTCCACCCTCCCGTAGTTGGTCGCCCTGGAAAAAACTTGTGTGGGATGCGCAGCTCAAAATTTTCTGGATATGCCGAAGCAAAAAAAAAAAAAACTGCGATACTTTTCAAATTATATCACTGCCTTATGTGGCACTGCGGAAGATTATTTTCTGTATGAATTCCCTACCGCAGCTTCTTAGTCTTGAGGTATATTCCAGGAAAATAGAGAAAGACATGTGAGGGTACTAATCCCATAGTTCGAGACGATAAATGGTGACAGTGGTTGTGGCTGGTGG